TCGATGCCCATCTTGGGCGTTTTAGTTGCTGTCTTAATTGGTGCAGTTCTCAGCCTGGTTTATTGTGTGGCCACCTGAAACATATGATCAGGAGATATTTTGAAGGAAATCCTGTTTGTTTTTTTGTTTTTTCATGGCCTATTTTAATGGGCCTGAAGCTGCTGTTGTGAAGTTAGGCAAGTGGCAAGAAAGTTTGTGCTGTTTTTTCCCTTTTGGGGGAGGGGAAGTAAAAGAAATAGATTCCTTGGGTTGAGCAAGTACTGCTAAATTGGCCACGCCCACACAGTCACATGACCTAGTCACGCCCACCCAGTCACATGACCACCTAGCCACACACCCCACTCTGTCCCCCCCCCCCAAAACAGTGTGAGAGACCATGAATTGGTCCATTGTTCAAAAGATTTGAGGACCCCTGGGCTACACAAATCCCACTCAGCAATGGTTTCTTAATGATGGTTTACTAAATAAGCAGGCACCAAACAAACTATGGCTTAGCACAAAGGGTGAACCGACTCCACCACCTACAGTCTGGATGGATGAAGATTAGCAACTCACCTGGTTTAAAGAATAAAGGATCATTCTGAAAGATGTTCAGGGAGTCAACCACATGCTCAAATTTGTCCTTCAAGTAATACTCTTCGTGCTCAAACTCCCTTTTCTTCTTCCCACTTTTTGCCGGCTTGCCTTCCTCTTCCGTCCTGCCTTTAGCCGAGTCCCTCTTCTTCCCAGGCTCTCCGTCCTCCTTCTCCTTCGCAGCAGAAACTGCCGTTCTTGAGGCCTTTCTGTTGGCCTTTTCTTTCTCTTCTTTGACCTTAGAAATGTCCTTCTCATAGTGGCGAATGCCACTTAAATGGGACACAAGCAGCCTTGTGGTAATGGTGACCTAAATTTTCAAAAGACCCAAATTCATTTTGATGTCATCTATGTGAGTTATAATTAAATTAGGTTAAAGACATATTTCCACCCCTGGAACGTGGCCAAGGAGATTTTTGGATGCTGGTGCTGATGCTGTGAATAACCAGCCTTAATTTACCTTTTCACCTTCATACTCTTTTTCAGGAAATTCCGGAACATACTTCTGCACAGCAGTATCTAAATCCAGCTTCCCTTCTTCCCACAGCTTTGCCACAGCCACCATGGTCAGAGATTTGCTAATGCTGGCAATTCGTAGGACAGTCTCTGGACTGCAGAGCACACGGTTTTCCAAGTCAGCGTAACCTATGCCTTTAAAGGAACCGGGAGCCCATTATTTAAGGATGTCCCCGAGCCCCCAATGGTTTAAATATCAAAGGATCTCCCCCCCCCTCCCGTAAGATCAGCAATGGTTGTATCTTCTTGGCCTAATAGTTTGCACAAGTAGAGCAGCTCTCTGATCCACTGAGAATCAGCACTATATTAAAAAAAAATAGCATGAGAAAAAGGCATGATATACAGTACTCTAAAGCAAGAACACATGTGCCCCAGATGTTTCTATTGGTTCAACAGGAACATATAGAAAAACACCAATTAACTCTGGGTGTTGTTTGTGAGGGGGGGGGAGACAAAAACAAAATTGAAGACAAATGAATTATCTCATCCTAGGTCACCCGTGGTACAAGCCAGACTTCCTCAAGCAAAATTAAGGGATGCCAGCTGCCTGGCAAGCCAAAATAAGCATCGCAAAGCAGGAACGGCTTGACCTCACCAGACTGGAATCTCCTGATTAGATCCATTAAATTCAGTTCATAAATATTATACAAGGATCAACCATATGTAAGCTGAACAATTATCAATACACTTCTTAATTGCACCAAGAAAATTTAGAATTAGCATATAGCAATAATTTAAATTTTGCTTTGGAAAAGCATGCATGTTATTTAATAGAAGAGGCAACTGAACTCTGAAAACAAGACTGGAAGCTAGAAAGCCAAACACCCTCAACTGGCCAAATGTTTCCTCATTACGCGGGGCAAGTAGGGCTGGAAACACTCCACTTAATTATATTTAATTTATAAATATAGCCTGTAAGCAAAACACTTTTGTTCCAGCACCCGTTTAATTTCAGAGCAGTTTCATTTAAGGGTGCCTGTGATGTTTACGTGTTGCAAAAAAATGACAGGCGTTAAGACTTCTCAGGATACAGGAAAAGCTTATTTGGCAGCCAGATTCAGAAAGCGAGCCCATGGCTTAGCATGCAAGTTCTGAACAACCTTTGTTATCGAAGCAGGCGTTCTTATACATTCTCAAAAGCATTGCAACACGGAAACACTTAA